CCCCCCCCCCCCCCCCGAGAACGGAGCTGGAGAGGGTATCCTGCGATCCCAAATAAAGAATGATCAATTAGTAGGAAAACAGGGTGGGGAGATTTTTCTACAGATTTTTTGGGGATTTTCCCAGAGTCTCTGGTCCACGGGATTTAAAATTATGAGTTTGGTGGTCCCTGAAGTCCAAAAGGTTGGCAACTCCTGGTATAGGGTTTTCTACCTGAGCAGGGAATTGGACTAGAAGACGTCAAGGGCCCTTCCAACTCTGTTATTCTGTTCTGTTATTCTCCCACCCTATGGAAAATCATTAGCTGTAGCGATTTAAGCAATCATTCTATTTGGTTTACCAGTTGTAAGTGTTTTGATCACTATGAATAAAAGAGAATCTAGGGATTTGGGCAGCAAACACAATTGTGCTACAGTACATTGGGAGTGGGGGGAGAACAGATAGACTCTCTAGATCAGGCTTGTCCAACCCGCGGGCCTCGGGCCGCATGCGGCCCAGGTCGCCTCGTAATGCGGCCCAACGCCCACCCCAACCTTCATGAAAGATCCAGCGAGGAGGAGGAGGAGAGGCAGGCGCGAGGCGAGGCGAGCAACAGAAAAGGCGGGCAGCCGCAGCCCAAAAGTCCTGCCCCGCCACCTCCTGCTGTTGCCGCCGCCGCCGCCACCACTGCTGCTTCTGCCCCCGCCGCCACCGCTGCTGCTTCTGCCCCTGCTGCTGCCGCTGCTGCTTCTGCCCCCGCCACCGCCGCCACCACTGCTGCTTCTGCCCCCGCCGCCGCCACCACCGCTGCTGCATTTGCAGGAGAGGTAGGCGCGAGGTGGGACGAGGCGAGCAACAGAAAAGGCGGGCAGCCGCAGCCCAAAAGTCCCACCCCGCCACCTCCTGCTGTTGCCGCCCCCGCCGCCACTGCTGCTGCTTCTGCCCCCGCTGCTGCCGCTGCTGCTGCTTCTGCCCCCGCCGCCGCCGCCACCGCTGCTGCATTTGCAGGAGGAGAGGTAGGCGTGAAGCGGGCGAGCTTTCTTCCCCCCCTCCCCCCCACCCCGCAAAATTTGGCTGGAAAATTATAAAATAAAAAATAAATAATTTTTAATTAATAATTAATAATAAATAAATTTTAATTTTAATTTTAATTTAATTTAATTTAATTTAATTAATTTAATTTAATTTAATTTAATTTAATTTAATTTAATTTAATAATTTAATTTAATTTAATTTAATTTAATTTAATTTAATTAATTTAATTATGTGCAGCCCAAACCAAATTTTCATCTTGTAATGTGGCCCAGGGAAGGTGAAAGGTTGGACACCCCTGCTCTAGATAGATTCTGGGTAGATTAGGAAAATAAATCTCATGTTTTAAAATAAAGCAAATTCCAGTGCCTTTTAATTCCAGAGTACATAGAACCTCTGGTCACGACCATAATTAGTTCCATAACTTTGGTCGCAACCTGATTTGGTGGTGACCTGCATCTAATTTTGGAAATTTGGCACTTACAAAAGAAATGGTGTGGAAGGGGAAATCGGCCGCAAAAAATATATATGTGAATTTTTAGATCAGAACCTGATTTGGTCGTGGTCAGAAACATTCGTGACCAGAGGTTCTACTGTAGTAGGTTCTATTGAACTAAATGGATGCTGGAGACATTTTGTTAGAGAACACACTTCGAATTATAGTACACATATGCATACATTGGTTCATACATTGGTCTTTTATTTTTAAACTTGTCATTCTTTTAAGATCTCAAGAAATCAATATAGCTATGAATTCTTTAGTCTTCTTCCCCTCCCTTTGTACCCAATTCACTCTACTTTTGTATTTTATTTGCCTTAAATTCTCTAACATCAAGTCACCTCAACATACTGTACTTACTTCTGTGATAGTTCAATTTGTATTCAATCCACATTAATTCATCCCCATTCATTCTTGATTCTATTTTTTCTTGCTTTACTACTTTTGCTTCTGAAGTATTCCATTTGCATAACTTTCTATTTGATTCTTCTGACACAGCTCTCACTTGGCAAAGACAAAGTGGTCTATACTCTTATACAGAGCGATTTTGCAAACAGTTATTCCTTACAACAGATACAACATATTACTTACCACTTTTCTATTAGGATGCCCACCCATATTCCATCTTTGCTAAATATCTACTAACTTTTCCCTATTTCCCTTAATTTTTAAGGGAATTTTTAAAACTTCATTTAATGATCGCTAGGAGTTGAAAACAATTTGATAACATATAATCAATCAATTATTCACTACATTACCTTGGTTTTTAACGCATTAAATTTGAAATTCATACTCCTTGCTCTATCACACAGTCTGTCATTTGCTGAAAATAATGTGGATGCTCAGCCCTCCCCCCATGCTTAACAAACTAATTCCCCTTGGGCAATCACTCTTGATTTTCCTCTCTTCTAAAATACTCTTTCCAACATCTCCTCTTTTCTCATCCCAAAACAACTTTCACCTTTATCCTTGCATCATAATTTGTATTGTTCTGTATACCCATCTGATTTCTACATGGTTCCTCCTCCTTGAAAGCACATTCTCCAGTAATTTTATTCCAGACTAGCTCGATACCCGTGCTTCACTACGAAACTATGTGGTCGGGCTTAGTTTTTGGGGAGGAAAATAACAAGAAAAAAAATCTGCCTCTGCCTACCAGCATTCATCAGTATTCATCTGGCTAGCGTTCTGTCAGTGTGTGGGAGAGTTGAGGGCTGTTTGGAAACTGAAACTGAAACAGCATTTGCTGGGTGTGGCTTAGCTGGACTGTTCTGTACTAAAGCTGGTTGCTGCTGTGAAACTGAAACTCCTCTGTTCTGCTTGTATTTGCATTTGGAACAGATTTGCTTTCAGGTGGGGAGGGGGACTAGAATTATTTAGCATCAGAGGTGTTAATAATAATATACGAAATACTAATGCTTTGATGGTCATTTCAAAAAATCCTTTCTTAGTGAGCACCTAGAAGCCAAGAGGAACATACATGCCAAATTTCAAATTTGTAGGCTTTACGATTCTGGAGATTTTGTGATGATGCGTGAGTGGTATATACTTTTATATACTGTATATAGATTCTTTTGTGAATTTGAAATATTTAAATCTCTTGGGTGGCTTAAAACAAAAAATTGAGCTTTTTTTGCAAGGAAAAATGGTCTTCCATTATCGTTGTAAGCTGTTCATGGATCCTTTGCATAGACCACCGGTTTTAAAATACATAAAATAAAGCACAATTTCTCAGGGAATCCTCAGATGAATACCACTTTTCACACAAAATCACCTAGCAGGGAGAAGGAAGCAAATTCCACCCCCGCTTTTGGACTGAATGGTACGTTCCGCGTCAAAGTCGCTTCCCTCCCGACTTGTTTGGTAAATTCCGAGCAACGAGTCAGATGAAGGAGCGGCTGCCACGAGTGGAAATCACGTGTCGGAGCAACCTTCTTTTTAACCCGCTGAGCGTCGGCTGGAGCAATTGGGATTTGATCAGCTGTAAGGATGATGCGCGGTTGGGCGTTCGTAGCGGTGGTGGCCGCGACTTTGCTGGCCGTGCGAGCCCGGGATCCGGTGAGTTGCAAGGAGAGCACCCCTCTTCCCTCTCTGCTTCTCCAGCCTTGGACGGTTCTTTCTTCCTAAAGAGTGAGAAGGGAGCTTAGTCTGTTGCGGTGCTGCAGGGGAAACGGAGGGCGAAGGGGGAACTCTCGAAAGCGTTGCCGTGTGAATTCGATGGGGTCAAGAGAGAAAGGGGCTGGTATTGGGCCAGCTCGGCCGTCCGGCCCCAGGGTTGAAAGTAAGCGAAAGGTTCTGCACTGTCAGAGCTTTTCTGTTGTTGGATGCTGTGCATGCCGCAACAGAAATTAAGTCATTTTAGGAGTTGAAGCAAACCTTGGAAGAGTTGTTCTAAGAATAAAAACACAAATACTTAAAAAAAAAAAAAAGTCCAGAGATGCTAGATTTGTTCCAGATTTACTCGAACTTCAAAAAGGCCCAGTGAAATCGGCGAGATGCAATTGATTGCAGTCATTGCTTTCAGAGGGTCTGCTCTGACATTTGGCCTGGTAGAAAAAGTATTTAGTGCGAGCACACTAACACCAGAAGAACCCACGGCTTTGAATTAGAATGAAAAGTTGGGGAGGAAAAAAAAAAAAGGTCTGGGGAAACTTACAGTGTTGTGACCAGGAAAATAACATTGATCTGCCATAGTCCTAACTTGTGAGGAACTGAAAGCTCAACTGATGCATTTTCTAGATAGGAAAGTAGGTTATAGTTCACCAAGTAATAGGTTCTTGTGGAAAAATAAGATCCCATTTTATAAGAGAGTTGGAGAAAACAAGCTTATTCCATACATTAGAAACAGAATAGAGCAGCTTGATGGTCCTTAAATAGGGTGTGGTAACAGTGACTATGGCCATTTCTTGTTTTTCCTGGTGAAGGAGTTGTAGGTCAACAAATCTGAAGAATGTCAGAGATGTTGAGAAAGTCTGTACTAAGCAGTCTTTAAAGGTCTATTCAAAAGACGGACCTTATTAATCAGATTGACTTCTTCCTAATTTTCAGTTGACTGGCAAAAAGGGATTGGGCTGAAGGAGAAACAAGCTTAGGTAACTACAAGCTTAGGTAGACAGTTTGCAGGTAGCTTGTCAGCCTTCAGAAAAATTGAAGTATGAATTTATATAAATGCAAAACACTCTAGTGCAAGACAGTCTTCTCAAACACCAAATTAAACCACCTTTAGTAGTAAAATGCTACCCACCAACTTGATCAATTTGCCCATTTAGTTCAGTGACTGTCCTCATATTCTAACAATAGATTTCACTTTAAACTTCCTGTTTTACTGAAATATTACTTCTCTGTCTCATTGCATGGTTGCAAGAGAGAACTCCCTTTGCATGTACTGTATCTTGTTCATAAATACAGTATTTACTGGAATTATATGCCATCAGCCAAATTGGAACAGATTAGCTTTCATATCTTTTAAAAATGTTTATGGCTTTTTCCAATCCATGCTGGCAAAACTCAGTTCAGATTTTCTTTTAGCTTTTAGCTTTTTGTAGCTTTTTTCCTCTGACTTTGTTATTGCATCTTAAGTTATTCAGATAACCAGTGCTTGTTCAGACTTCTAATTGCATTTAAGCATTTATTTTTAGCCTACTTTTGTTTCTAAAGTTTTTATGAGCTATTTTGCTTGTAGCCCATGCAAGAACAAAGATATTCTTTATTTGAATATTTTTCTTCTATTTTATTTTTTACATACATAGAAATTATTTCTATTTACACAATGTAAAACCATTTTTAAAACAAAAAATAAAAATAAAAAACAATAAAAACTAACAAAAAGAATCAAATAAATTAGCAAAGTACAATAGAACAAAAGTTGGATTTTTTTTTAAAAAAAAAAACCAATTCGCACCTCCCTGCCCCGACGATAGCAGATCACACAAGCCATTTCATGGGCCCCATCCTGCTCTGGGTTCCCCAGGCTTGCTGGCAAAACCAGGTCTTCAGTGCCTTTCGGAAGAGTGCTAGAGTGAGGGGGCCATTCTAATCTCTGGGGGAATGATATTCCAGAGAGAGGGAGCCACCACAGACAAGGTCCTTCTTCTGGGTCCCACCAGGTGTATCTCCCTCAGGGTGGGACCTGCAACATTCCCTGCCTCCTCGCTCTAATGGGTCGGGTAGATGTGACCGGCAAGAGACGTTTTATGTGAAAGTTCTAACGTGCAAAGAGAACAATTAAACTTGAGTGGCTTTATGATTCATAAAATTCCTCTTTCTTTTATCTTTCTGGTAATATTGTCAGAATGGTTCTGTCAGTAACATTTTGGCTTGAAATATCAACATATTAATGGCCTGTGTAGGGATATATGTTAGTACTCCATGTGCCCATTTTCAGGGATACGCAACTGCAATTTTTCTTGTTTTATTTCCTGTCATATATCTGCAAATCAGGTGAATTGGACAGTAGTGAAATTTTAATGAGTTTTGTGGCTTGTTTGCTTGTACTTAAGAACAGAGGAGCAAAGGATCATATCTCAGTTCAGGAAGCAAACATGGTCTTCCCAACACAAACCAAAGTCTTAATATTTCACAAAATCAGAGTATATAATTAGGAACAGGAAGAATCTGAGTAACTTCAGATTTAATGAGCTTGTATTTTTCTGGATGCATCTTTGATCTTGCTGCATTTCTCACTCTGTATATTTTAGAAATATGAAACTACCTTGATTAATAATTCATGTCCTTGCATGTTCTTATTTGAAATGTCTTTCTTTTATTTTGGCAATAAATACCTTCCAACAGACTTAGAATATTACTTTATCTGCCTGTTGCTTGCTTACCTAGTTTTTCTTTCTGTTTTATATTCATTAATACTTAATTTTTTGAATAAATATAATAGAGTTTTGCTTACCTGTAAGGAATGATATATAAAAGATACATGAGCCATATATAAAATGATGTACAATTGGAGGTGTCCCTGCTACAAATTGCTTGTCTTTTGGAATTAGATGCCAAACTCCATTCCATAGATGTAATCTAGTTTCTGGAAGCCCATTATAGTCTCAAGTAAAGTGCCTCCCCCTTTTTTTTTCCAAGGCCCCTTCTCTTTCCTATTATTTGCTGCAAAATCATGTTTGCAAAAGCTAAAGCCGGCATGCCTGCAAACATAGCTCTATCTTGGCCATCATCACATTCCCTGATGGTGGAAGACATAAGAGTTGACAAATGACAAGAACTGTGCATGCCGATTTTCTGACTGGATCCCTTGTAAGCCATGCCTGCTGGAAATGAGAGGGGAGGAAAACAGCTGGAATATTTCTTGACCCAAAATAAATGCTACTTTACAGATGCACAATGTTTTAAGGAAGAATTTACTGTACCATTATTTCCAGTTCTGTATGGAACCCTAACCCTTTTATGTTATTACTCCTGCAATGTTGAAGCAACAGCTGCTTTGTACTTTTTAATAAATATGTATGTTACCCTTGCCATATGAGGTGCCCTGTTTGTGCAAAGCTTGTCAACATTGTAAAATTCCCATCCTAATATATTCTTGGGTGCAGCACCGGAAACTAAATTTTTGCATTTCTGCTTATGAATAAGTGGGTTATGGAATGGGAAGATTCCACTACTATTTAACATTGAGTTGCAAGGAAAGTTGTACTTCACTGCCTTTTCAGGTTTGTTTAGCCTACGGAGACAAGATGCCCAGGGCTGATTTTCTTTTCCCACAGAGGATAACATAAGATTATTTCATGGGTATTTGATTTTATTTTGAAATGTTTACTGGGTTGCCTGAAAAAAATCCAAACCTGAACTGTTGTCATCATTGTGTCTGTTTTAGCTGCATGGTCTAGTTGAGTGGTACTTTTCAAGGCCTATGATTTTGGCTTTTCCATGGATTTAGAGGTACACAAGTTATCAAGAACAGAATATTTTTGTGAATGTGATCTACATAATACTGCATTAAAAAAACCTTTTATACTAGTTTGTTCTAATGTCCACTGCCACATTTTTATTTTTTTGTTAATGAATATATTGAATTAATTTAATGTACATTTGAGGGGGACAAATATTCAGACTAAACACAGAAAGAGGAATTTATTGAATATGGGTTTTTGTACAGCTTCAGTCATGGAATGTGAATGAAGCTATGCAAAGTCTATGTGGCTTCAGTTGTAGGATCACTTGGCAAGCCAAGAAAAAAAAAATACTGTGAGAGCTATGTACTGGTAGGAAAGAAATTATACAAAGTAGAATCCTGGGATAAAAGTAAAAATATGTGTCCAAGGATAATGTCACAGGATCCAATCTGAGACTGTCACCAAGACCAAAGATGTATTCTTCCAAGCTTTCGTGCTGTGCTGGAGGTCCTCAGAGTAGAACCTGTTTCTGTTTAACTGGCAATAATTGAGATATCTTACCAAACCATGCATAAATTTGTCTTATTCTGTTTATTATAGTATCCTAATTAACATGATGCCTTAATTGCTAGAGATTTTATATCATGGAAATGAAAGAAATCCTTAATAACTTGAAGCCTGGAAAGAACTAGATTACTAGATATGTTTATAGAAATCCTGTATCTAAATAATCACAAGATCTAAATATCTGAATAGCTGCAATCCATTTTAAAAAAAGCTTCACTACAATCTGCTATGATATTAAGATGAACTCATTTCCTCACCTATGAACTGAACTCATATTCTCATCTATACAACTTTGTGTTCTCACATATACACTAATATAAACCTGTATGGAGCTAATCCATTGTCAGCCCTTGTTAGGTAAGCCTGCTTCATGAATTGATTAAAGGCATATTTTATTTATACTTCCTATTTTTTTAACTGCTCATCTCTCAGAGACGGACGTTTGGCAATTACTCTGATAGATCTAATATGCTCACTTCTTACCATGGTTGGGTTATAGAAATTCCAGATTCACATTATTGAAAATTCCATGAATGTATGTTTTTTAACACAAATATTCAAAAACGTAAACACTGATTTATTGGTTACAAGCTAATTCATAAGGATAATCTTTAAAGTGATTAGCACTGTTGCAATAATTGTTCTAACAAACCATAATGTTGGCATAAAATGATGAAAGGTTATCTTCTGATTTTATATTTTGTTATTTAGTTATACCTAGTGTTAGGGAACACTAGTTAATTTTTCAGAGAATTCTAGGGCAAGTTAATGATCCTAGTTTTAGAAAAGAATACCAAAACCTATTGTTTAAACAAGAAGAGCCTGCTGGCTCCAGAAGATTTGTACTTCTACATTTATTTTACTAGCTAGCAAATGATTGTGGTAGTTGGTATTGCATAATATTTGGGAAACTATAATTGTGTAATCCCTGTTTAAACCAATTATTAGTCTCCAGCCCAGATAAACTGATAGCTCATCCTAATTTATAACCAAAATAGCTTGTTTCTAATCCTTTCTTCAACTACTGAAGGTCAAAAAGGAAAACTTTAAGAACTTCAGATGTCTTCAGTGCCTACATTAGTAGTTTTTTCAATGGTGTGTCTGAATTAATCCTTCATATCATAACAGTAAAAAGTTTCCCAACTTTATAACTTCTAATACAGTATGTGTTACTGTATTTAAAGGCTTATGCACCAACAAGGAGCAGTTTTGCAACACAAAGTAAAATACGCTGATGCCTCCATGACTTAATTATTGTACCATGTGTAGGATTGAACCTTCACTTTTTTCCTATTACAACATAAGAAAGTGCAAGGACTCTGTAAATGTTTTGTATTTCACTTATATATAAAAAACAGTTCTTAAAAAGGCTTTTATTTTATTTCCAGTTTGCTGAAGATTGCAGAGTACATGAATATCCTCCAAGTGGACCAACGTATGTGACTTACTAACAACATTTCTGATATTTGCAGATATAAAGAGAACCTGGCTTAATTAGATAGAAATTTTGAACTGTTTGTACTGTCTCAGAATTATGATAATGCTACAAAGAAAATTAGGATCATCTTGTATTACATAATAAACATACCTGAATCCTTGACTTATGACTAGGTGCTTAGCAATGTTTGATGTTCCAACAGCCCCCCCACATCCCAGCAGATCATGTGATCATGTTTTGGATTCTTGGGAACTGGCTCATGTTTGTCCTCCATGTGCCCACAATTTACAATATTTTTGGCCAGAAACTGGTGTTTATTTTCAGTTTCTGGCAAAAAAAAAAATGTCTATTGTGGACAATGGATTCACTTAATTATTGTGTGATTCACTTAGATGCTCCAAAAAAGGGTAAAAAATTGGACGCAATCACATGGTGACCCACTTAACAGCATGACTAATTCTTTATATCTGGAAATCATACGATGGTGGGGTTAGAGAGTAGTTCTTGTTAATTCTCTTTAGAAATAATACAAAACTTTCTCAAGACAGAAAACAATATTTGCCTGTTTCAATAAATATTAGGGAAATCACTCCAAGTTTCACATAAGATGCACCTGTCTTAAATATTGGTGAATTAAAACTAGACAGCTAAAATAATTGGGACAATAGTATAAGAAATAATATATTGGAAATTAGCAGTTTATATGTAAAATAATTGGGACAATAGTATAAGAAATAATATATTGGAAATTAGCAGTTTATATGTAACAATTTCATTCATAAATTTATGGAAATTCACTGTTTTTCAGGTATAAAGGAACAATTCCTGAATATGTCATAAACCTTGACCTACCACCAAGTGAGAGATGGGTCCAGGTGGTACGTGACAAAAAAGATGATGTAAGGAACATAGCAGAAAGAATTAAGTATCTTTGTCTTCTCTGAAAAAGTTATGATTTAATTAATTTGAATTACCATTCTAATATCCATAATATTAAAAATCCCCCTCAAAATTAGGGGAAGAGCTATACAATGTTTCGCACATTGAAGTCAAGCCATTTGATAAATTGGCAATTAGGATCAGTCATCTAGAACATCCTTCTCCATTTTGGTCTAGTCAAGAGCCTGAAGGCCAGTGATTCTGGATATTCCCTATACCTGCAAGTCATCCAAGTGGGAACAATTATAAGGGAGTCTGCCTTCCTCAGTTATCCAGAGTAATATTGTAACATATGTAGTTGGAATCCAAATGAATTTCCTGAGTAATTGATTTTCTAGAATGAGAGTCTGCAAGTAGGAATAAATTTCTAAAGTTGGCCTCATCACAATGTGACAAAAGAGGCATTATGAGTAAGTATGACCAGGTAGCAACAATATGGGTGCTTTTTTACATCAACCCTTGCATCCCTCACTGTCACTTTCCAGGTTGAAATGAGGCAGCGAAGGATGCTCAAGAATGAATAGAATCCCACTTCTAAGCTTTTTTACCTACACAAAATGAAGCAGATGTGGTATTCAGCAAGTTCTGACCAGTTCTGGAGAACCAGTAGTGGAAATTGTGAGTAGTTCGGAGAACTGGCAAATACCACCTCTGACTGCCCCTACCCCCATCTATTCTCTGCCTCCTGAATCCCAGCTAATCGACTGGGTCTTATTTGTTGCCCTGCACAGGAGAATGAAGCTGGAAAGCAGGTTAGTGGGGTGGGGAGAGAATGGGATTTTGCAGTAACCTTCCTCCAGGAGTGAGGAAGGAATGGAAATTTTACAGTATCCCGTGCCACGCCCACCAAGCCATGTCCACCAAGCCATCCCATGCCCACCAAGCCACACCCACAGAATCAATAAAAAAAAAAGAATCCCACCACTGAAATGAAGTTTCAATGTGCCGATGTAAGGCTAGATCAGCAGTTTTGTAAATTGTTTTACATTATTTTTTGTACTACTTTATAAAGTTTGATATATTTCTATTTAATTGGATCTTGCATTCTATTCTGCTAACATAGGTTAATCTGTTGTATTTCTTTCACTCTTGTAGTTAAAGGTTGTAATAAAGATTATTAAAGCTATTATGTTGACATTCATCCATAATGAGAAATTTGTAGCATCTATGGAGTCAAAAATAGTGAGTATATTTTCTATATTTTGGGGAAGAAATTAAACCAGGTGTAACATTCTAGCTACTACTTATGAACAAAAGACCATACCAGTAAATACCAGAGACTTATAAATAATTATATATGTGACCTATTGTTTAAGAATATAATCTCAACCAGTAAATATAACGCCTCTTCCTCCCAAAATAAGACTACTTTTTCAAGCATTCTAATGGTTTTTAATCTGCACAGTAGATTTTCCATGATGAGTACTAATGAGAGTACAAGTCTCATTAGCACCCCAAATTTGCTAACTCTTGCTTGGAACATAAATGAATAATCCAGTCTGATTATCTATTGGCACATTATACCAACTAACAATAGTGGTACCAGGTTTCATTGTTCATTGGCCCAACTTAAAGTAGCCAGACGGGGTAGTCTGGTTCTATACAACAAAGAGGATCTTTTTCTAATTAAGGCACAAAACTGAAACTTATTTATGGACAATTCCATTGATGAACTGTATATTATGATGCACTCCAAAAAGAGGGGTTTTTCGCAGAGGGAGGAGGAAAATAGATGTAGAAAAATGTAGAAAATAAATAAAATATCTGAAAACATTTTTTTTCATATTCCATAAACTTTATATACCTAAAAATGTTAATATCATTCAGTGTTCCAATATTTTAATATGGGTTATCTTATTGGATTGTCCTGCTTTTATTGGTTTTAGTACAACTTACTCTGGAATTCGAAAGAATTGTCCAATTGCTTCATTTTAAAACATGAGATTTAATTATTTGATGATCTCATCCATTATCACTACTGTACTCCCAGCATGTGCAGTGTTATGAGAGTTAACTAATAACTGGGGTTTTTAAAATAGCAATAGCACTTAGATTTCACAGTGCTTTACAGCAGGAAAGCTGGCTGAGGAATTCTGGGAATTGAAGCCCACAAGTCTTAAAGTTGCCGAGGTTGGAGACCCCTACTTTACAGAACTCTCTAAGCGGTTACAGACAATCGGCATATACCCCCCCCCCCCCCCCCCGCTGCCATGTGGGTCCTTATTTTACTGATCTCAGAAGGATGGAAGGCTTAGTCAACCTTGAGCCGGTCAGGATTGAAGAAATCGAACCCCTGGCAATGTGAGCAGAGTTAACCTGCAATATTGCATTCTAACTACTGTGCCAAGATAATGAAGGAGAACAAAAATGGGAAACATAAACTTAACAAGCCCAGTATGAGTTTTAAACTGCATACTTAAAGTCATTTTGCTCCACATATTTAGCCATCATAAAATCATTCTCTTCCATTTTCCTACTGTGACATTTTCTTTTGAAACAGAGGTGAAGGCTCTTACTAAAGCAGTACAATATGTTACTTTATCAAATAATACTTTATTGTTGGTTGGAGATGGTCTTCAACTGTCTTGCTGGATTCAAAGAAAAAGACAGAACCATGTAGAATTTAGAACTTTCAGCAGTTTTGGTTTCCTTAGAAGTAAAGTATTTTCATAATTCTTTTAGTTGACTTGTCCTTGAAAGTGCATTACCAAATGACTGCCTTCTTTGTTTTCTATAGGAGTTTTATTTTTTTCCTGTTCTTTATAATCCTTATGTGAACATTTTCCAGAGATTTAGCCATTGTAGTCAATGAAATAACAATAAAAGAAGGATGTATTGGAGTTTATAATTTTTCAACAATTTCAGCTATTCTGAAATACAACAGTGTTAGTCTTTCTCTTTCTATATAATATCTAAAAGAAAGAGAGAGTGGGAGGGAGGGAGAGAGGAGAGGGAGAGAATATGAGAGAATAATTGCAGTACTTCTACCAATGAATTAAATTAAATTATATGAGTGGTTGCTTAGCCTTTCTTATATTGGAATAGGCTATCTTTCCATGATTGGCAGTTGTGCTTAACTTTCAAAATGACCCAAGAGCTGCAGTAGGCAGGCAGAAGTACATTTGGGGTGGAAGAACATTACAGATATGCCAAAGGATGGCATTTTTTGTAATGTTTGGTGAGTGGATTGAGGAGGGATCATTGGTTTATATTTGTGTTAAATGTATTTTAGCTTAGAGTACAATGTTTATATTTCTTGCCTGAACCTATGAGAAAAGACATGTGTAATTTTATCAGTAGAATAGCAGCTGCAGGAAAAGATGTTCAGGTGCCATAAGTTGTCTACTGCAAATTACCCTGAGTGAAATAAAGTTTATTTTTTAGAGCTTAAAAAAATAACGTTAAAGTTTTTTTTAACATACATCGTTATAATTTGCCAAATCTAACTAATTCATGGTTTCCTTTTAGGGTTGGTTATGTTCTACCCTTCCTTATCCTTTCAATGAAGAAATAAAAGGCATTGCTTCTACTGTTGATGTTCCTTTAGGTAATTTCCATATTCCTGTAATATTTGACTTTCAAATATATAGGGTCCTTTGTTGCCTCATTTTAGTACTCCAGTAGCTACGGTTCTGTGCTGTGGTTCCAGTAAGGGCATGGAACTTCAGTGCCCAGGTATACAATCTTGCATGTACTGGACAATAGGCATAATACTAGATAATTAATTCAAATGAAGAAATGCTAAATCCATTAATTACTTCCATTAAGCATCAGTCAACAAACACTGAATGGAATCTCAAGTGTGCATTATATTTTCTCTAATTTTCATAAAAGAAGCATAATGTTTAAGCAAGATTTAACTTCATGTATTGGTATATCAGATCTCCTTTGCCCTATAACCTTTTCCCTTGTTTTTCAGAAATTGCAAAATCGGGTATTATACAATTCAGAAAGGCATGCTAGCTCTTGAAAGGCGTGCTGGACAATTTCTGAACCATCTGAGATAGCATCTTATGTAGCTTCTAATGATTCTCAAAATAAGAGAAAGGAGTAGCACAGATTTCTTGTATGCCTTTTCAATAGTATATAAGTTGTTTTTTGTTATTATTTTGCTACCTGTAATCTAGAGTCATCTATGATTAGTGCTGTCAGATTATGTTTCTTGCTTTGGTTTGTACACATTTGTCTATATATTTTATTGACAATTCAATAATCTCTGCTTCTGCTGTCCCATTATGCAGGTGATATTGTTGTGTTCAACATCTTCTATGAGATCTTCACGGTGTGCACATCCATAATAGCTGAAGACAAAACAGGTAGGCAATGCATACCTATTCTGATTCATTTGAGAATGCAATCGCAAAACATATTTTAATCAATGTATTTTAATATTTGTATTTATAAGGAGAATTTGTTTTTAACTTATTTTATAATACTGTTTGCTGCCCCCAGAATTATTTACTGAGATTTTTGGCCATCAAAATTGAATAAATAAATAAAGATTAAACATATTTTCTCTTCAAATTTGTTTTGCTTTGTTTTCCTTTTCAATCAGGAAAGCTATACCATGCTAGAAATCTTGATTTTGGACTGTTCCTTGGGTATGTAATAGCTGCAAGATTATTATACTTCTTTCTGAATGTTAGTATTATTTGTGTCTTCAGCATAATGATGTTTTCCATTTTTCTTTAAGGCCATGACTACTTGACAATGCATATTAAATCTTTCATTTACATATGAACGGAAATTGAGAGTTGCTTTGTGTTTTAGATGCTACATATTACATAGAATTTAACATCTAATAGCAAAAATATCAGTGCAAGTATTTGTACTTTCAAGAATGCTATATAGAAGCAAGGGAAATCAGTTTATAAATCTATGTAATGCTGGGTATAAAACCGGAAGACCACCATAGTTTTTACAGTATTTCCTGCCTGCATATATACTTTTTGTTTTTTAATCTGTAATGCATTGTCATCCTGTTCTGTTTTTATCTTAATAATTGACAAGGTACTAGAGAGTCCTGATCTTTCTTAAGAGGGCTAGCCAAAGCTGTACGTAATACACAGCATAGAAAAAATTTAAGATTTAGTGCTTGAAGTAAAATTCAGTGGCTGTTAATGGAAAACAAGACTGAATGGGATGAGGAAGCTGACAATGTATGCAGAGTTTTCCATTAACTACTAAGACAGATGCTACACATGACTAGTGGAGAAAAGAAAGTGACACATACATGCTGTTCTACATAGTAATTTTTGACAAACTAGATGAGTTGTTGAATATATTATATTGATATAAACCCATTCAAAATATGATGGTTAGATGGTTAGATCAAAGATGATGGTTAGAGTGACATATTAAGACCAAGATATAGATTCAAATCCTAATTCAGGCATGAAGATCATTGGTTATGTAGACCAATCACAATCTCCCAGTTAAACTTTGGATAGCAGAAAATTTTAGAGACCTTGGATCCTCTACCAGTAACTTTGAATGCACTATTTATGAATCAAGGAACTTTAGAAGAAAGATTCTTCTATGATATTTCCAAATTAAGATTTATAGATCAGCCTGTTGTGAAGATTGAAAAGGGGTGATATTATATCCCTGGTTCTCATAAAGAAACACGGAGTGAAGCCAGCAAATGTTGACTGATCTAGAGATTTAGCCTTTGACCAGAGAGAAGAAAACTCCAATTTCCATAGCTTTCACCAATATATTTCTTATATTTAATTTTCTTTCTCCCCTGTAGGTGGGATATAAAAAATAGTTCCTGGTATACAACGCAGAAGCTGAAGCCATTAATGGTATCATTGGATTTTCAGAAAAACAATAAAACAGTATTTAAATCTGCAAATTTTGCTGGCTATGTGGGAATGATATCTGGAGTTAAGCAAGTAAGTGTTTATCAATCTATCGATATATGTAGTTTAAATGTCATTTTGATCTTAATAGTACAGAAAGATCATAACTTATTATTCTCAACATGAACTTATTTAAGCTCAGATGGGCAGGTGTCCAGATCCTTTTTGTGACTAACAGCCAACACCTGCCACAGAACTTGCAAAGCATAAAGTGTGCAAACTTTCACTATCTGAAAAAAGGGTCTGCTCTTATTTTGCCTGTTTATTTATTGTAACATATAAAATCAGTCATTTTACCTTCAGTTCTGCAAATGTAACAGAGTAAATCAGACCAAATATTACATGACTAGAGAGATGAAGAGATTAATTTTGGCCTAAACATTTCTTGGGTTGCATTTTTTGTTACATGCACGAAGTGTATTTATTTGACAAATAGATTGACTGGGAAATAAAATTTGTATCCTGCAAGTTTCTACAATCCTGGCTACCACTGGAAGTGTTTCGTGCACAAGCCTGAGGAGAAAACAAAATAGGCACACTTAACTTTATGTTCTACAAATACTTTATCTTTTGCTTCATCTTGATGTTCTACAGTTTGGGCAGTGAGATGGAAAAATGATTCAGTTGTTGAATATTCCTCTAAATGTCAGGCTTCCTCCAAATTCATTTTTCTTATTGAATCAGAAACACCCTTCCCTGTTCTGAGGGATTATTTACAAGAGTAATTTTGAAAGAAACATGAAAATTTCAATTTCTCTCTTTGCTCTGGTAATCTTGTCTTGTTCAGCTGGTGTAACAAATCTCAGGATAATTGACAGTGAGTTAATGGCACAATCATTTTGCAGCCCCTGTGAAGGCACTATTAGGCTCAAGCCTGACTGTCCTCTGTCATAAGAATTTCTAACTGGGTTCGCCCAATTTATTGCTTTACGTTTATTGATGGTTTGGAATTGGCACATTATTTGAACTGTGAACTTGTAAACAATGGCTTTGGGTTTTGTGCGAATGAGTAGTTTTAGCTTACTAGTGATCCAGTATTAAACAAGACATGATTGGATTAACACATGTTAAACATGTCAATCCAGTGACACTCTTGCACACAAACATATAATAAAAATGTTCAGGTATAAGTTGTTTATTTAAGCAACTCTCATTGTCTGAGTTCATGCAGCTTGCTAAATCAAACTGGTTCATGGAGGCTGGTGTAAACAAGCACCTACAGTATGATTTAATCCATTGTGTGAAAAGCTATGTACACAAGCATGGTGAACTGTGGTTTGTTTTTAATTGTGCCTTACTGCATAATTTATAATTGATTGGGTTTGCACATCATTGCAAGTCAGAACTCATTCCTTATGGTCACAAGAATGGATTCAAAGTTATGCTGTATCAAAGGATCACACAATCATTTAAAGCAGGGGTGCCCAACCTTAGCAATTTTAAAATTTGGGGACTTTAACTCCCAGAATTGACTGGCTGGGTAATTCTGAGAGGTGAAGTCCTCATGTCTTAAAGTTACTGAGGTTGCACACCCCTGATTTAAAGTGATTTATTAAAGGAATCATAGTGTATGTAAATAGTGGAGCCCAAAGCTCTGTAGCGGGAAATCTCCTAGTCATATTGGATTCCTTTATGGAAGAATCTTTATTAGATATGATAATATTAAAAATGAATTTACTTTATTCAAGTAACAGTTGCATTAATTGGCTTCTGTTTTAGGGGATGTTTACATTAACCATGAATGAGAGATTCAGTCTTGATGGAGGTTACATTGGTGAGTATCCCTAATGAACTGTTCTTGTCTAAAGAGAAAATATCAAGAAAGTCATTTTATTAAAAGCTGAATCCTAAATCCCTCAGATTATCAATTATGTCTGATGTCAGGATTGAAGAGAAATAGCATTGAGTTAAGATTCAAAAGATGAGGTGCAATTGAATAGAATTAATGCACAGAATCTTTTACAGGAGTCTTTGAGTGGCTTATTGGCAAGAGGGATGGTTGGTGGATGAGTTTTCTCACCAGAGCTGTGTTGGAAAACAGCACAAGGTAACATGTCAAATGTTTAAACAGTTCAAGATAATTGTTTTGTAACTGCTGTAAAGCGGACAGAAACCTTTTCTTTTATTTTCCTGCCTCCACTCTTTTCCACTTCTTTTATCTTGACTTTTATTGCTAGAGCTTACAGAAGACTTTACTATTTGTATCCCTTGTGGCTTTCCTAGCATCAGTTGTCATGGTTCTGATCTTTCTTAAATTAGCCTTGCTGTAACTATGTCCTCCAGATACATAAAACTGACATTCTTAGAACTGACACTGAGAATTGCTAATATTTCTGGGAGATACCAAGTTTGGTAAAGCTATTTGAAAGTTTTTCAGTATCTCTTTGCTTCTTGCCTGTTTACTTAGGAATAATATAATGCAACTTGTCTTTCTCTGTTCTTTGTCTTTTGCAGTATGTCTCCATCCATTCATGTATTTATTCTTATATACTACTCTGTATAGTACATTCCCAAACTGGTCAGAGGTTATTAAATCCTTGGGTATAGGCATCTCTTCTCTCCCCACTGCTCCAAATCATGCCACTGAAATTAGTACAAATACTAATGACTTGGTAATCACTGAGATAACCTTTTCCCATTATTTTTTGCTGAGAAAATCAAGAGAAGGCCCATTAAATACCCCCTTATGACTGCTGAAAATAATAGGGTGGGAGGATGGGTAGCACACAACCTCCACAAACACATTTCCTATTCTTGCTGTGTACAGAGCATTTCAAAAGGCCACCTTTTGTTTATAATGTGCATGTCATGTCTGCTCCTTGTAATCATTGCATTGTTTCTCTTGTTGAATATAGTTACGAAGAAGCGAAGGATAAATTGGCCAACACAAAGCTGCTAGCTCCAGCTTATTTCATACTAGGAGGAAGCAAATCAGACGAGGGTTGTATTATTACACGTTCTCGAACTTCTGCTTTAAACATTAAGAAGTAAGTATGGTCACTAAGGAAAATATCACCGTTGCATATAATAGCATGTGTTAAAGCATCCTGTTAAATACTTACAATGCAATAAAAGTGATTTTAGCTAGTTTTTTCATTTGTTTACAATCTCATTACATCAGCTGTGCTTTAATAGCTTTAACAGTTTTCTTTTTAAAGAAGAAATGTTTTGAAGATGAGAGATCTGTTTTGGATGCACTTTTAACAAATAGCTTGAATTTAGTTGCTAATGTTTTAGAAATATCGGGTCATAACTTTGGTAGAAAATGCTAATATTTATCTTTTATTTCAAGTTTGGATGCAAAGAACAATGACTGGTTTGTTGTAGAAACCAATTATGACCCCTGGAAGCCTCCACTTGTTATAGATGACCGCAGACACCCTGCAATGAATTGCTTGAATAAAACGGGTCAAGAGGTAATGCAATGCAATATAAAAGATAGCTATGCAGAGAACTAAAGCTATTAATTTGATTAACTATGCAAACGGGTATCAAGATGGAACTTAGAAGTACCATTAAAAGAACAGCTGAAATTTGTAACAGTTATTCCAAATATAACCCAACATAATCATGGTTGAGATTTCATGTTTGCACTAAATCAAAATATGGCTTTTATTTTACTTACAGATCATAGTTTATAGTCCACAGTTCAATCCCAAGATACAAATGTTTTCTTTTAGTTTGTTTTAGGGCAGTAAACTAGTTTTAAACTATAGTTTGTTACCTTATTGACTGGAATTATAATTTAATGGCAGTGCATGATTTATGAGTTTCTGACATGTTTCTGTGGAATGGCTGAACTTCTGAAACACGCAAGGGTAAAAGGGTTAGAAAGGAAAGGAAGTTTTAAAAAACCACAAATTTAACTATTCCTATCTATCACCAGGCATGGCAAGTTAGGCATGGCAAGTTCTTGTCTTGATTAATAAATAATGCATTAGCCTCCTCTATGAGTGCAAACAATGTGGTTAATAGAAGTAATTTTCATTCTAAAATTCAGCTAAAATACTTTGAGTTTAACTGACGCAATAAACTAAAATAATCATAAGCCCTAGAGCTGTTCGTTTATTCTACAGCTGGCAAGGTAGCAACATCTCAGAGCAAATTATTGACTCTTTCTATAATGCCTGTCATTTAGGACGGAACACTTGTTGCTGAGACCAGATTGGTTCATGGTATTCTGTGCTACAGCTGCTCTAAAGATTAAAACAGAACTTTTAATTTTTGGTTTCAATCTTTACTCTTCTTCCCTACCAGAAAATATCATTATCAGGTTTATACAACGTTCTCTCTACAAAGCCTATCCTCAACAAGGTAACTTTTTTTTAATTTTACTTTTATTTATAACTCATCCTTTATATTTTTATTAAACAAGTCCAGGTGAGAAACATATCTAATAGTCCCCTTCCTCCTCCTCCTATTTTCCCCACAACAACCCTGTGAGGTGAGTTGGACTGAGGGGGAATGATTGGACCACAGTCACCCACACCCTGGCTAAGGGAGGGACTAGAACTCACTGTCTCCCAGTTGCTAGCCAGATGCCTTAACAAAACTGCCTGTCTAAACTTGTAACTCCTTGTTTGATGCATCCTAAAAGATTTCCATTCATTCATGTCCATCTGCCTTTGAATTGTTCCATACTCTTAAAGTAAATATTGTTTTGAGCATTTTGCTTCTGCTTAACCCATTATGGTAGAATGGGAGACAACAGAGCTTGTCTTTTAAACTGGGGCAGTAAATTGTTTGCAACTGGAGACACATTTGTTGGGGGAGGGCTGATGGGATGTGCTATAGGCAGGATGTAGTTTCCTGCACTTCTTTGAGGGAGGGAGGGAGAGTTGCAAAATATTGCAAAATGATATTTTTATATGAAACTTTCCCCCTTATTTAGTTGACAGTCTCAACTACACTGCTAGAAGTTTCTGAAGGCCATATAGAGACTTATCTAAGGAATTGTCCAGAGCCGTGCAGTCCCTGGTGAGGGCCACGCAGCCTGCAGAATACAACTCATGGAAGAGGATCCCTTGCTGGGTGAACAATGGCTGGTCTTTTCCATTGCCAAGAACCTCTTCGTCTTCAGGGTGTCTCCAGAGAAACCTGGATTTAAGTGCTTGCAATTCAACCAGCAAAATTAATTCAGTCTGCTTTCCAAATATATACTTTTCATTGTATGAACCTTAAACAGGGTTTGGAACTTCTGCTTCTTTTTTCCTTAACATCAGTTGATCCTTGGTTAGTGTTACTAGAGAATTTCTTAGGCAAGTATCTTATGGCAATTTGTCCTATGTATCTTCATTCAGAAGTAAGTCCCATTGTATTTGGCATGCAAGGTGTGTTTTAGGCAGGGCTATGGGGGATACAGTTTTAGGAAATGATGACAGTTTGAACTAGTATTGTCCAATCCTTTGAAAGAACTCAGTGTTCTCAATCTTCTTTGGCTGCCATCAATGTGTATTCCCAGCCTGAAATAATGTTCTGGAGTTCTTGCCTCCCTGTGCACCTACAGAATTCCACCTACTTCCAGGAGGAGAGCGCCATGAGAAAACCCAGCCCTGCATCAAAGGAAAAGCATAGCACTCCTCTGCAGTTAGCAAACATGCCTGGAGCTTTCCAGCGTGTTACCTCTGACATGCTTCAGAGATTCCCAGTTAGTTCTCCACCTATGACTGTCTTTCATCTTCATCCACAAGTTTTAAAGGAGTGGCATGTCTTTATGAGTGAAGCCATGTTGCTGTTTTTCATAAAACGTAATTGGTAAGATGACAGATGAATAGGAGTTTTTGGGCAGTCAGGTGAGGCCAGCCACGCTCCCTCAGCTCTCACTGTAGTGTGCCCTCCAGTTGGATAAGTAGACTAGAAAGAGTGTCAGATCAAGGCATATCAGAAAGACTTGCCATATTTTTAGTGGTACGCCTTGCTAAAATGTAGAGCCACTACCCCAGGATCACAACCAACTGAATGTTTCAGTTCTGTTAATTGGAATTAAAAATGTAACATTAATGTCCTTGATAATTTTGCAATTAAAAAAATAAATTACACTGTCTTATTGAAAGTGATACAACTTTTCTTTCAGTGTTACTTGTATAACATTTCTCATAAATTAAGCCTAGGGTCCAGCTAATACATGGATCAGTTTTATTACTTGACTGCTTAATAAATTAAACTTGATATCTTCTGATAATTTAAGAAATGGCCCTTTTAAAGCCACCTTTATTCTAGTTTTTAGGAAGCTGAAGGGATGGGTAAGGCAGAATTAGATGTCTTCAAGGCTATGTTGAAAGTTTGGAGACTTCTTGCTCTCCTGAAAGAAAAGTTGATGTATTTGACACACTGGTGCTATATTCCCAGGCATGGGAGGTTACCTGAGTGAGTTAAGTAAATGTTGGTACAGAAGAGAGCTTAATGTTTGAGGGCTTAATGCCCAATAATCCAAATGATGTGAACTAACACGATGCTATCTCATCTGCAATTTTCATTTATTGACTTAATAAATAAGAATTTGCTTTCACCCAACAAAGCTTTTTTAAATGTCTGAGATGTATTTCCATAGCATGTTTAACTTGCTCCACTTGCTGGTTTAACACATCCCACTCTATTGCATATATCCTACACCTATCATGTGTAGGATGTAAAATGAATACTTGTTCCTTGATCTTTTTAAAGATTCATTACATCTCATTAAAGTTGTTAGATCAAGTCTTTCCAGTTGTGGTAAATTATCTATTAAGCAGGTAAACCTTTTAAAATATTTAATTAGGCAAATAATGTTGCATTCCTAGCTGAGTGAGTAAGATATTCAATTTAAGAGCTGTGCTTAGCTCTGGTCAGTGACTGATATAATTCAAGGAACTCTGTAAAGCAATTCTTCCCAGACTGTTAAATTGCAGATAAGTTTATATCTGCACTCATTTGCACTCTTAAAACCTTGGGAGTAGACTCTGATGTGTTCCACAGCCATATTGTTTGTGTATTGTGTATACATCAGAGAGAAAAAAATCAACGTTCATTCAGAAGGAAGCAAAGACTGGCTATTCCCATGAGCTTATACCCAAGGATAAAAAAAATTCACTGATTTATGTTCCTAAAAGTTGCGTTTCCTAAATGAGCTATTTCGTTCTGTACATACTCTACCCAGTGAATTTGCAAAAATTATTACATTTCATGTGTTTGAACTAAGCATGCCTAAATCATCTGATTTCAACATTTCTCTCACTGCTAGGACCAGTTCTGCTTCAGCTTAATTTCCAGGGTATCTTTACTCTGCAAATTTACAACTGACTAAAGGGTTTACAGTATTCAACACAATGCCTAATTATTGGCTTATCCATAATTTGCTAAATCACTAAAGCTGTCTTAGCTTGCACATTCTGCTGTCCATAACCCATGGTTTACAACTAAGCATGGTTCCAAACACCTTTCTGGCTTAATGCAATCAGTGATCTCTCCTTCTGGCTAGGGATCTGGCAAGAGTCCATATGCCTAGATAATTTAATACTTCCAAGGATATTGTTACAACGTGCCAGGACAACTTATAAACTTGCTGGCTTATTTCTTGCCTCCCTCTTCACCCAGGTCCTGCTCCATTTCAAAGAATGGAAATCAGAATTATCCCACAAAATTAAAAAGGCTAACTTTTCTAGGCCAGATATACAAGTGAAGATTACCTTATTAATGGGCAGATGCCATTAAAAGGTAGAGATATCACCACCACCACTCTTCCACACTAGCTCCAGCTAAATCAATTTCCACTTGACTGCATAAAACAATGGTGTGACACTTTCCAAATTATAGTCGGCTTAATAGATTACACTCTGTTGGTCTTTCAAGTACATGGTAGATACATTTGAGCTATAGCCTATGTGGCAGAAGATGATGGCCAGTGTAGTTCAAGGTTCTAGGAAGCTTTCACTGCTAATGGAGCAACCATAGCATAATATAGGTGAACCACAAACTTCTGGCCCTCAAGTTACACACTGAAAAGGCTCTCCAGTTACACAAACTATTAAGAGTAAAATAGTGAAGGAAGTAGACAGTTAATTTTTAGGTACAACCATACCAAAACATTATAGTATATTAATAAGCCAAAATTGGTTGGGTTTGCAAAGATCACTGGCTATAGTTAACAAAAGATAATTCCTGGGATAACAGGTTTAATTCATCAGCAAACCATTATGGCTTTGGAATCTCTGTAATGCTATGGAAGAATTAAAAAATAGTAAACATAGAAAATATGTGTTGATATGAAAATGTACTCCATATTGTAATGTCAGGGCCCTTGTTTCATTTTGTAGGTAAACAGATACTATAATATATAAATACACTTTTTCAATATGGCGACAAGGCATCGTACTTCAAGAGGGGATTTTTTTTCTGCTAGAGCACAGGTGACAAACTTGATCACGTCACAAAACATGTTACGATGTATTGTGACATTTTTTGCCTTTGCAGACAGAGCCAAGGGGGGCAGGCCTGTGTATGATGCATCCAGCCTGCGGCCCGCCAATTTGACAGGCCTGTGCTAGAGTGCCTATTTCTTCTGAAGTGAGGGGAATCGGTTTAGGTAACACCAACTTGTCTCCAAGGCATTAAAAAAAAAAGAAAATATAGAGCGCTTTTCTAACCCACAGACCCAGGGAATGAGAAAAAAGGATGGAAATCTCATTGAGCTCTCTTCAGGAAGAAGTCATTACACTATTGATCAAAGACAATTGAGCAATGTAAGCCCAAAGAAACTTCCACCAATACTTATTTAAATTTGAGACTAAATTGAGGTTTTATTCCTTTACAAAAACCAACTGAAGCTGGTTTTCAAAATTAGTCACGTCTGCTGAATGTTCTCTTTAGTCTTTCCAAATGGGGTGTGCTAGGTGAGTATATGTATGCTAGGTAAGCGTATGTACGTACGCCCCTGCTTGCTATACATTCTTTAAGAGCTCTGCACATATCCTTCTGTGCAGAGACTGGTATTTGACCTCTTAAGTCAAGCATAATTAGACCCTTTAAGAACTTGAACGAAGTAAAATTCCTTTAAGATCTCCTAGTTAAACTTGTACCATTACAGCAAATTCCCAGCCTGGGGCCACCAAATGTTTATTAGTACAACACTTTTCTTATCACAACATAGGCCATGAGATTGGTAAGTCAAGGCACACTGTAGGATAACATATGTATCATGTTGATTTGTAGCAGCAATGGTAGGAGGTACTCCACTGACGAATGTTGACCTAGTGGCTAGCCATGCAGTTATGCTAAGCCATAACAAGGATCAAAGCAGCTTTCCAAGCGAATGTATGAGTTTCTCTACTGAATTTCAATGCTAATAGCTGGATCTCATTGCTAATTCTCTAGGAATTTGTCACACATTTTCCATTCATTTCCCTTGATATATATAGTGAGACTTCAAAACATAGGCTTTCATGTCTTAGTGAGACTTCTAGATAAGTGCATTTTGTAATATTCTACATCTTTGGTTCTGTGTTTATTTTCCAACAATCCCTACAAAGCCTATAGGTATTAATGGAGGACCACAGCATTTTTACAAAGTACCCGATTTTGGTTTCTGTTGAGTGGAATGTTCTTGTTGCTACTCAAGTTTAAGCAAAAGCAAATAGTCTTCTCAAAGCAGAAGAATGTGTGCATTTGCACTTCTGAGTTGAGAGCTAAGACTAAACAAGAGCACAAGGTACAATTAAATAATATGTTAATCTTTAAAAGTATTCATTTCCCAATCCCAGGGATGTTTGCATTTCCCAATCCCAGGGATGTTTGCAGGCACTAACCCTTTTATCTTACAATACTTTGATCCACTGTGCATAGTTCACCTGAACAGCGATCTCTCCCCCCCTCCCTCCCCCCCTCTATTTTTATATATATATATAAATATAAATATAAATATCTGATCATAGTGGGATCAAACTGTGTTTACATTTACTTATAAGACACATGAAAAGGAATATACATTATTTCAAATACAGTCTATCCAGGTTGGTAAGGCATCACTAGCATTTTCATAGAACAAAATTACGCATTAGTGAATGTCCTGCACATTCATGTCTAGAAGGAATTTCATATTGTTTTAACAAAAGTAACATCCCCATCATTCCAATTTTGGGAACAGAGGACTCTGGATTTAGATGTATTTTCACACAATTTTTTATCACAAGATGAACAGTTGTATTCAGAAGAAACAGTTTCTAAAGGGTACAAAAAACAATTGGTGAAGAATTCTGAAGTGGTTGAAATAACAATATATTTAATATATTTAACTTTCCTTACATTTTCTGGGCTAGTCCATTTAATCAAAATATTTTGAGAAGGTACTGTATATACAACTGTTTGGAAGAGATGATGTAAGGGAGTACGTTGGTCAGTTCTTACACACAAATACAAAGCTGACATTGGCTAGGGATATTGTCCCAAAACTATGTCCACAGGCAATCACCTCAGCCATGTAGCCACTTTTGAGCTAAAGATTTATGATGACCAATGAAATGGTTGAGGGAGCAATCATTAGAGATTTAACATCTGTTATAAAGACATATATTTATTATTGTGTTATATGTGATAAGAGATTATTATTATTATAACCACTATTTAGAAAAGTATTTTCATTTCAATCTGATCTTTTTACTATAGTTTTTATTTCTCCTCGTTCTCTCTTTGCCCTCTAAATCTCTTTCTAATAAAATAATTATAGATCAGAAAAGCTTACACTGTAGTAAATTTGTCAGTTTTTAAAGGTACCCCAATATGCGGATGTTATTGCAAGAAGAGCAAAACCCTGAAGAGCAGCTTTGGATCAAGCCCGTTATCATATAATGAGAACTCAGTAACACTTTTATAAACAAGCTAGCAACAAACTGTTTTTAAAAATCAATACTTTTTTCCTTGACTCTATTATTACTCATGGCTCATCTTAGCTTCATATAGCATTGTTCAAAACACACCTACATACAAGTCAAACTTTATTTAAAACTACATGGTAAAATTACTAAAATCACCATAATAAAAACATAAGAACTGCAGCCAGGTTGAAAGTTTAGCTGTTCGAACTTTTATGAGAAAAAATTAGCAAGCCTATTCTAAAAGGCAGTGTGTGAAAAACTACTTTACATTTTATACAGATTAGAACACATGAAACGTAGTAGTGATTTTCTATTTGCATTTATCAATGAGTTAGGCCACAGAAACGTTCCAGAGGCCATTTTCATGCACTTTGAGCTCCAACAATCTCTGAAAAAAGAAAATAAAGTAACTATTTACCAACTATTCAAAATACACCTTTGTACTGAAAACAGCTCTTGGTAAATTACAGTCAACAAATATATATGATTGGACCACATGAGTTCGTTATTCTCATTGTGAAGATGACAGTTTATTGTTCCCCACAATTAATACATATTGAAGTGTATTTCCATCACTGTAAATAGGTAATAATTTTGAGTGCGACAAAAACAGTTTAATGATTCAATAATAGTAGAAAACAAAATAAGATTATCACTGAAAATTTTGTCCATTTAGAACAGAATGTTCTGGAAATTCTGGAAGTTCCAGTCTCTCTCCTGAATATCCTTGACCCTCCTCCTAAGCAGGTTTTTGGGGGATACTTCAAAAATTTCCAGAAGTAACTTCTTGTTTCTTATTGCCTTATTCTGGGAAGTTTCTTTCACTTCCCAGTCATGCCTTCAGCTCTGGGGTTTCTTGATGATTTACCACTCAAGTATAACAATCCCCTCTTACTTTTTTAGTGTAAAGTCACCAAACTATTATATAGAGATGCGCATATTATTTCAGTTAACAAGCAAAAATGCTTAAAGTCTGAATGCAGAACAAAACTAAAAATGTTTATCCAACTTTTCCTAATTCTAAAGTCTACAATCTGCATCAAATAAACTAATTGTATCAGCATGAGTAGGATAACAATAACTAAAGTAATCAAAGATTCTCACCAGGTTCCTTCAACATTTGAGGATCTCCAACTAATTCCTCACCCTGCCTTTCTGCTTCAGCTAGAATTTCTTCAGTGATACTATTTGTCTGAGACTCTGCCATCATTTTTTTCATTAGTTCTTCCTGAAAATGGATCAAAAGAGTAATTCTCACAATTTACTAGTCTTGTCCACTTGTTCTATACCATACTCTTAAAAATAATCTTTTGCTTTGTAGATTTCTTAGCATAACATTTACCTCTGAGTAGACTGCAAGTTTAAGTGGTATGTCTTCAAGTTTTACAAAGTCATCTTCATCAGATTTCTGACTCACATTTCCAGAACCAGCTTCCTATAAAGAGAATATTTTTAATTTAATTATTTATCTATAAAATGTATAACTTTACTTTCTTTCAAGGCTCAAGATCGAACTTTCTTCAGTTTTATAATTATTTCATTAAAATAATTATAAAATAATTAACCTGTGACTACTTCTTGTTATGAACAGATATAATCTTTCAGTAGAACCAATGTAACTAAACTAAAACTAAACAATAAAACCAAAGTCCAAAAGAAGCATTGTAGATAGACAATTCTCCAACCATGGATTCTTGAGGCTCATATCAGATTATATTTAAAAGACAAAAGCACTACATACATATTCATTAACCAATACAGGAGATTCTGTATCAGGACTGCCAACTACAGAGCTTTCAGGTGTTCCCGATGATGATTTTGAGTCTCCACATATTGCGTCTACAGCTTGGTTTTCATTTTCTGCTAATGGAGAGTTTGTTTTTTCTGTAGCTAAGATAATGCTGGCATTAAAATCTTCAGCAACTCTAACAACTAAGGACTGTTTTTCTTCTGTAAGATTAAGATACTGAGGTACATTAGCAGGCATATTTTGATCATCTGAAAAACAAACAATATTTGATTATGTTGCTTGCAAGGACTGGGATTTTATAAGAGTTTACATACACACACACAAAAACACCAGTTAGTGAATATGGAAAACATTTCAAAAGATTACATTAATAGATATATTTTATATAAATGATCATATTGAATAATTTAAAATTGATCTGCTATAAGTAACTCACAACTTCAATATGCTGACTTCAGTTAGACCTATTAATTGTTAAGATGGTCCAAGATAATAATTAATGTAATAATCCTTAAGAGGCTGAAAAAATAACATATTGTGCCATTTGTAATTAGTTTATATTCTGAATCCAGACTGCACCAAGAGTTCATGCTACAAATATATTACAAAATAACAGACTTTGAACAATAAGCAAATAATAATAATTGAACAATTTATACAGAAACAGCAAGAAGTTAATATGAAGTGTTCTAAGCAAAAACAATATAAAATCAACTTGTTTTGTCCATCTTTCTCTTGTTCTCCTTCTGCTGTTTAATTTTCTTTTACCTATTTTACTAATTTTAACAAAGCCAAAATAAATGTAGATCTTGTTAATGTTACTTATCTTTTCAAGTCTAAAACGTGAAATCTTAAACTCTGAAAAAGCAGGATACACTTATAAGCTCTGAAGAGCTTCTGTCACGCTATAGAATCCTTTGTGTTCTGTTTAATAAGTGTAGAGTATTCATAAAATACTGATGAGTAAATACCTAGCTTTTAAACTTCCATATAATTAACATAAAAGCAATTGTTTTTATGAGTGTATTCCTGTATTTCATTAGAATATATCTTTCTAATCATCAAAACACTTGTGAATTAATTCTACCCCAGCCCAAACCAAGCATCATCCATACACAAAGTTTCAGATGATTTCTCTGTTTTCCTAAGAACAAAAAAAATGCCTTGTAAATAAGTTTTTCTATATTCATTTTACCTTTAGTGTTTACAGATTCTTGTTCAGAAGAAAATGTTTGACACACATTTGGATTTTCTGATATGGACTGTAAAACCTGTGACAAAATAAATTTATTATTTTGACTCATTTAAATTTTAATTACTTAAAGCTCCAATCTTATTCATGAAACATATTAAGAATCTTAAATTCAGTGTTAATATTAATGTTCTGCTTCAACTAATTTAGCAAGCAGGAGAATATTCATTCATTTAAATCCATGGTTTCTAATATATTACATTATTACCAATTAAAAATCTCCATCAAACCTCCAGTATTCTAGTTTGAAAAGCTATTGTATTCTTACTTAGCAAATTTAAATTTAATTTTGCAGTTTTAACCACCAGTGCATAGTTCTAGATTTTCTAAATAGTTATGTTAATAAATCTTTCCAAAGAATGAAGACCTATCTAGCATCAAGACACAAACGCATTCTCTCAATACCTGTTCTTCGTTTTCAGCTGTAGTTTCATTATTTGCCTGGAGGGAGGTTTGAACATCTACAGGTCCTTCTTCAAATTCATCTATTTCTTCATCTTCATTTTCATCTTCTCCACTTCCATAATTAGTGAGAGCCTGAGTTTCTGCTTTAGACAAGCCTAGAATGTGTGAAATATACTCCAAACATGAAATAGACCACAATAAGAATTAAAGAAATACACATCAAAGACTACTTTGAAGCATAGAACTAGCTATTTGAGTCTTTAGATCCTAGACTTGATTCTACGAATGTAATTATGTAAAATATTTTAGACACTGAATAGTGAGTAAGGATAAAACTGTGCATCAGAGAAGGATATCTAATGGCATAATTTTATGTTTACTCCCAAGTACAGACTGGATGGAAGTCTAAGCCTATTATATAAAGAAGCTACAAATGTTCAGCAATAACGGCATGTGCAGTACAATATTAAATATGAGTGTATTTCATTTCCTACTGGAGACACAAGACTGAAAGAATGCAGTGGGAACAGTTCCTTTCATACATGTAATCAACTTTAGAATGTAAGTATAACTCTGTTAAACCAGGCTCAAGGGCCAAGCTAGTCATCATAACTTTAGTTTAGACTAGCAACTATCGCATTTCATATTCAGGTTCAATGGGTGTAATAATCTACTTAATACATTTAACAATTGGATTGGCAAAAATGTAAATACATTTAACTATATTTATTTAGCATACAGCAATTTATCTATAACAAGCTAGTAACAGAAGACAGAATTAGTGATCTTTCATTCCACTAATGTAGATGCTTGATTACTTGAAATTATAATCAAAGCCATTAAAGTTGCTTACTTATGGAGACAGGACAATTTTCACTCTCTTCTTCCTGATCAGAAGGATCTGATCTTGTACTGATTGGAATTTCTCTGCTGAATATTGCAGGTTCATGAACTTGCTTAACAGTTTCAGTTTCATCTTTGTCCTAGAAATAAACAAATTTATTGTTATATAGAATAAAAGAGTTTTAATTGTTTAAGTTTTATTTTTAGTGGCAAAAATAAGGATGAATCCTATAATGTCTATTCTACAAAACATTTTACAATTCTGCTCAAATTTTATCATCTCTTCAGTTACTACTTAAAAACAGTTCGAAGGGGGAGGAATCTTGGAGTAAGGAATATGAAAATTCTTTAGTGTGGAAGAACCTATTCAGCAACTACTGCCCTTGCTTATGAACCTCGAAGGAATATCTAGTTTTGACTGCTGCTCAAAAAGAATTTAGTTTAAACAGTCTCACTATTAAAAAAATTATCAATAAAAGCCCCAGCATCACTCCAAGTTAGAACAACCTCCTAAGCACATTTCTATATGAGTGTATGAGTATGTGTGTTTGTGTATATAGAATTAATAACTTCTCTGAACTTTTGAGCTAAACATAAAAAAGTTCATTATCTTTAAAAATTAATATAGTATTCATCAGAAATGATATTCAATTACAAAATCTGCAAAAATAGAGGACATATTCTCCATTGCTTAAAAAAAATCTCTTACGAAAAACTGATGAACAAGTTAGAACAATTTGGAGTTGTTGCAGGATAAAAATTAATAGAAAGCAAACGAAATAACTAAAAATCTAACAGGAGAACAGAAGTTAGAATTAGAAAAGGTCATGGAATTTCAAGTGATAAAGTTAAATACATAGGAATATGGCTGACAGCACATTGCAAAACACTAAAGGAAAATAATTACGACAAACTATTGCAACAGGTAAAGAAGGATTTAGAAACATGGGGTAAAGTGCAACTTTCACTATTAGGCAGGATTGCAACGATTAAAATGTCTATTCTTCCAAAATTTCTTTATATATTTCAGATGATACCAATTAAAGTACACAAAAAATATTTTGAAGAACTTAATAAAATAATCGCAAAATTCATTTGGCAAAGGAAAAAAACGAGGATAAATTTAAAGGCAATGCAAGATATGAAGAGCAGGGGAGGGATGGCCCTTCCAACTTGGGAGTTGTACTATAGTGCGGCCTCCTTAGTATGGTTGAAGGAATGGATGAACTTAACAAACAAGAGAATATTAGTTTTAGAAAGCCACGACCTACAGAGGGGGTGGCATGCTTTTCTATGGGATATCGGGAAAACCACCCAGAAATACTTTCACAGACACTTAATTAGACATACATTATTGACTAACTGGAAGAAAATAAGGAGAAAACATTATTTAAAAATACCAATCTGGATTTCAACAATGGAAGCAATGATCCATCCAAATAATTTGGATATTATTAAGATGATTAAATACAAGGACTTATTGGATGCGCAAGGAAATTTGAAATTGTGGCAAGATCTTCAGGACCAGGGAGTACAAATCGATAGATGGGCATATCTTCAAGTACAGAGTAGATACAAACAGGATAAGAAATAATTTGGAATCAATAATAAACTTCAGCAACTAGACAAAATTCTATTAGGCCCAGACAAAAAAAATAACAAAATTTTATAATTACCTACTAGAGGCAGAATTAGAGGAAGAAATTGTCAAAGGGAATATGATAGCCTGGAGTAGGAATAAAGGACGTAGTATCACTTTAATAGAATGGGAGAAGGTCTGGAGTAGAAATAATAAAATCACAAAATCGGCAGCCTACAAGGAAAATGCCTATAAGATGTTTTACAGATGGCACTTTCCCCCCTCGAGATTAGCGAAAATGCAACCCCAACATGAGTCCGAATTGCTGGAAATGTAAAAAAAAAAAAAAAAGGGAAGGAACTTTCTTCCATATGTGGTAGTCTTGTATCAAGGTTCAAAAATATTGGCAGAAAATTAGAAAATGGTTGGAGGAAATGACAATAGAACAGATTGAATTTAAACCAGAACTCTTTCTATTAGGGATTTTTAATAAACAAATCTCAAAAAAAGTGAAATATACAACAATACATATTTTGACAGCAGCCAGACTGGCCTTTGCACAACGTTGGAAGTAAATTCATATTCCATCAGAGGAATTGATTATTCAAAAAATAGCAAATTGTGCAGAGATAGACATATTAATTTTGGCATTAAAAGGAAAAGATACATCTGGAAGTGCTGGTACGAATGGATAGAACAAAGATCGATTAAACAATAAAGGGCAAAAGAAGATATGTTATAATTGTAGTAGTGAATATACACATATACACACACACACACACACACACACACACCGTGTTTCTCCAACAACCCCCCCCCCCCAGTAGGAAGACCCAGCATGTTTTCTAGGGATAAAATGAAATTAAGCCCCACCCCCAAATTTAGACCTATTTTAAAACATGCGAAATTGGGGGGGAAGTTTATTTTTTTAAAAAAATCTTACTTTGTCTTCATCAATATCTTCAGTAGATGAACATACTCCTTCTTCAAGTGATTTCTTTACCTAATAAATAGAAATTTTAAAGAATATTGGCTTCTGTTCAAACTAAATACCAACAACTAGATGATGGAAATTATAGGAGATATATAAATGAATTCTGAGCCATATATTCATTCTGCTGTGATTTTCTTTTCGGTTGGTAACAATTAAAATATTACAATATTGTTTAACTAGGTATTTTTGTTTTTTGCAGCTTGCTCTATTAGAACTGATTATTAGATTGGCTGAATAATTTCTCTGAAGGCTCTGGATTGGTATGACAGAGATATAGTTGAGTGGTTAAGTTTCCTTACAACTTAAAATATAAAAGTCAGATGATTAAAATTCTATTGTAATACTAGTATTTTCAACTCCTGTCCAAGACAAAGGCAGAGTGAAACCTTAACTAACAATAATAAATTAAAAAAACTAAGGAACAAAGAACCATTCTATTCTTCTACTGTTCTCCAAATAATATACTAAACTGAAGAATTTATAAAGTATAAAGAACTCAATCATAAATAACAGGATGTGGTCCTGTTATACAAGCTAAAATAAACCTTCATGGTAAGACTCTGATGTTGTTTGATATTAGAACAGAATTTGTTTGCATCCTTTGACATCTGCAGTCTTACTAGTGACAAGTAAAATAAAGCAAAATATACAACCTTCCTCAAATTCATGAAATTCATGAACACTAATTTCCAAAATATGCCTGTTTGTTTTCATTATTGCATAAAGAATGAAAAATGTCACTTATTAAGGATGTAAAACCTGGTTTAATTTTGAAGCTGAATTATTTTCTAAGCTGAACAGAAATTCTCAAATAGAGGCCCTTAACAAATTCTTATTTATTATCAGATCAGCCCCCGTCAGTTCCAGTCATTATGTCTGGTGTTTGGAAGCAATGGGAGCTACAAATGAAAATATCTGAGACCAACAATTGGGAAAAATTGATTAGTTCATAACTGAATATCATTTGATCTCAGGAAGAATATTGACAGAAAGAGAATGCATAGTAAAATATCAAAATTAAAATTTAACAGAATTTGAAATATATTAACAAAAGTAATATATTTACATTATATGAAACAAAATTTTATATTGACCTCTTTAATATAAGTTTGTGCCATTCCTCCTACTTCTATTTTTGGTTTACATTTTTGCTTTGCTGTCAGACTGTTATTATCCAAGTCTTGCATGAGTTTAAAAAAGGCTAATTCATTGAATAAGACTTCAGAAATCTCCACAAGAAGGTCCTCCCCACAATCCTTTAACTTTTTACCAGCAAATTTTGCCAGTGAATCCTGTCCAAAAAAGAAAAATGGTTTAATGTATATATTATGTTTAACTTTCATCCTTTCCCACCTCCTGATTATATTCAAGGTGGCTGATACAGCATTATTCAACTTTACTTCATAAATTAACATATTAGCTCGAAGGCTTACCTAAGATCATTGAATGAGTTTATGGGTAAGCAAGGTTCTAAGGAATATAGCATTTTATTCTAAAGCAAAACAGACAAGAATTTGGATTAAGTTCTCCGCTATGTTTCTACTGTGATAGATACTACTTTTTCCAGATATTTTCTGATTGTATATTCCTCGTTTGATTAATTAATCAATATGACAATTTCTAAAGCAAAAATAGAAGGCATGAATGACAAGTGTTTCAGAAGAAGCTCTGTCAAAAGAAATGAGTTAAAATGCAATCCTTCTGACAGACTTTTCTCCTTAAATTATAAAAATATAAAATATAAAAAGGACTTGGATAATTCTCATTTTTAACTACTGAAGTAACATTTCAAATGATTTATCAAAAGTTTCATTAAAATATTCATTTTTCATGCTGTAAAGATGAGTAGATTTTAAGTGTCAGCATTTACAAATCAGACAAATGCTATGGATTGCACTTTCCATACTTATACTTGAGTTGCCAGATTATTTAAGATCTCTTTCATATTAACTTTTCAAGAAATTATAAAGTGCTTAGCTTTAATTCAGTACTTTAGGTGCTATATAAACAGATTTACTGAAGTGATTAAAAACAACTGCCATCATTGGCAGAAACATTCACTTCAGAATCAAGGTAAAATAATCTTTCCAAAGCTTTGCCAGCACCATAGTGATTCTGAAAAATAATCTTATTTTTTTACAAAGCTCACGAATTGTATACTTGCCTGCAAAATGCTACCAAGTTGCTTATGAAATATCTTGACAAATTCTTTGCTTTCATCATTTTGTTGAGTAAGGGTTAAGACCATACGTTTTACAGCAGTCAAGAGTTGGGAAGTACATATTTCATCCATGTGTTCCTAGAAAGAGTTGAGATTAAATTTTATTTAAACTAAGGATGTATGTATGAAAAAAGTTATTTAGTTTACATAACTTGATTATAATCTGCATATAGATATAAGAAAAAGATCAGAGCTCAGTCAATCAGGTGCTTCTTTGGAAAATTCAGAGGAAATATCCTAATTTTGGTAAGAAACACTTTTTACTTTGAATAAATGAAGCACCACCTTCTCTATAGAAGGAATCAGCTGCTTCTTAAGAAAAATCTAGCTACAAGTTTCTGTTACAGCAAATTCTTATTTTCTGTCACTTATAGAAATCAGCATTATAATACCTTCAGAAAGGGGATAACTTCTTTCATAATTGCTTTAATTTGTCGATCCAGCTGCTGAGTATCTATTCGGGGGCAAGGAATAGAAGATACTTCAGTAGTCTGTGGTGCAGCATGGCTTTCAACTGCATCTGAACCTTTAAAAAAAGTATGTTAATATTAATACTTTTTCCCCTCACACAAAAAAATTCAATATAAGTAAAAAATTTCTGGATCTTGGATTACATAAATGATAAGTAAGCATACTGAAGAGTAAAAAGTTCAATATAACAAGTGTATAGTCACTATCTTTTTTACATAAATTATGTATAGTAAATACCAAAACATTTACATTCAAAATCAATGCTAATAGAGCAGATAATACCCTGCAATATGCAATAAATTAATACCTTCCAATTTAGAAGAAGGAGCAGTCTGGAGATTACTACAGCAACCATCCTCGGATTCAAGGTTACCCTCTGCAGCTATTTTCATCCGTTCATATTCTCTCATTCTAGCCAATGCTTGGTCTAAATGAATCACAGTGTTGCCTATATGTTGGCAAGAAAATCATGTAAAACAGATCTTTTGACACTGAAAATCAAATATTACCAGGTGCAAATTAAACATAAAACTGGAAAAAAAAAAGGACCAAGATTATTCTTAAGTATACCTGCCATTGATAACCCACAATTAGGGTAATTGGAACTTAATGACTGAATACATGGAGTTGACTACTTTGGAGATTTATAATACTTTGAAGGTAATGCCTAACAGGAGGAAAAATATTTTGCTCTATATATTAACAGTATTATGTTCCTTTAATCTGTAACAATGGGTACAAACTCCAACTCACTCCAATAGATATAAAATGTTTTTTTCATAAAGCTGTGGCATTGCTCTATATATCCAAAGCCAAACTGCTCTGGATAATTCTTTCTTTATTATTTGAGAAATAGAATGTGATGGCATTCACAGTTCTTTCTTTTTTGAATGCTAAGACTTAAAGAGATATTCAAGTTTGAAAAAGGGACAACCTGCACCAAAAGGGATGTTAATATGACTGATCATTCTCTAGTTGATATCTAGGAAATTGTTCTGGTCATGAAACTAACAGGTGGTTCTCCTTTAACAACCACTTATTCTTCAGCTGTTCAAACTTGCAACATCACTCAAGTTCTGGCTGGTTCTCTGCCCTTGTTGTCAAATGATCACAATCAGGCACTTGGCAACTGGCCCAAATTTCTAATTATTGCAGCATTATACAGTCACATTAGCACAATTTGTGACTTTCCCTGTCAGCTTCCTATAAGTAAAGTCAATGGGAAGCTGGCAGGAAGTAAGAAGTCACAATCAAGTGAGGTCATTGCTTAATGATCTGCACAGTCCTTACCTATCAGAACAGTACTAGCAACAGAAGCTGCTGAAACCGCCATCATGTGACATTGCACTTTGTGCCGCATGCCTAGTGATGGAAATTCTTATCCTAGTTACAATTAATTGAGGACTGTGTGTATTCCAATGTCAATGATTACAAACTGCAATTCTCAGGTTGGTGCTTACCAAGATCATCAGTAGCAAATGGTTCAAAATTTGAAGATGTAGATCTAGTACTGCCATTGTCTCTATCATTTTGTTCAGATTCTCTGCAAGCACCTTGGTCAAAATTCTTTGCAAATGTCTCCTTAAAAAAGACATAATACAAAAATTTGGCAATGCTTTCCCATAATCAATCATCTTTTTGCAATTTTATACATTACTATTCCAGAATTTTAAGATAATTTTAAAAGACTCAGATCTGATTCTTTGCACGCGTTCAACAAGATCAAGCCTCCAACTACCAGCATAAACTGAACAGAAACATGTATGGAAGGTACAGCTAGAAAGAGAAGAGCAGTATACTCCCTCCTACTGAAAAAACTGCTAGTAAAGAACGAGTCTATAACTGCTCCAGGCTATGATCTTCCAGGGATGATTCAACATCATAAACCCTCTGAACTGGAAACTTTTTTGTTCCCAAACAAATCTGCTTATTTGGAATGCCATGCCATAATCTGCAATATCTTGAACTGTTTCTGGTTTAAACATTTACTTCTGGAAAGCATCAAACTCTCCTGAGGATGGAATGGTGCACAGCATGGTTTGAAACAGGACAGAATATTCTCAAGTTGTCCAAAGCTTTCATTTCCCAAATCAATTACTTCTGCACATTCCTAGGACACCTGACAAACATCTTGCTATTTCTGTATCAAGCACAATTTTGTTTCTATGAATTTTCACTTTAAAGAGAATTCTTAAGTATTGGACAAGTAAATTCAAGTAAGTAATAATGTCAAAGCAAAATACTAAATCCATTTAGAAAGGGATCAGTATGTAATTTTAAAAAAGCTATGGCAGTCTACATCATCCTGTTATCTTTTTTTAAAAAAAAGATAGATCTCTTAAAAGAATGAAGATCAAATGTTACAATAGGGACAAAAGATGTTATGAGAGTTAAGAAAAGAATTAGATGACATAGTAATTCAAACTTAACAATTCAAGCTGGTTTTAAAGATCTTCACAGTTCAAGTTTTATAGGGGATTTTATCTATATTTTACACAAATGTTTAAGAGTATAACTCGTCCTTTGCACTTATACAATACATAACTCAGTAAAGTAGACCATCTCAATTTAATTCAGTGAGTTTTATGCTAAAATCTAAAACAAAAATACATTTTTATTAAATAAGAAATCAAACTTGATCTTAAAATATCCCAAGATTTAGATAACTTACATCATCAGTGGTTGCAAGGCTTTCACTGGGAGTAAGCTCCGAGTTTGATCCTATCCAGGCATTTGGGTTCAGTTGCTTTGGACATTCTACTCTTGTATTATCTTCAGATGCATGTCTGGTCACTATGTCCTGTATAAAGCAACAGTTTTTGATAGAAATTTATTTTTCAGAAATTAAAAAAGGGCAACCTCAAATCACAATTTTCCAAGTACCTGTAAAGCATACAGTGCTCTTTGCCTCAAATAATCTGTATTTAGCATCTGGAGTTCATGGAAAAGTTCAATTAGAAAATGAGGGCGAGATTCATTTTGAGATATCAAAGTAGCTACTTCAGAATAAATGGTGTCTCGTAAAGCTTCAAACATAGAAAGGTCACTGCCTGTTTCTGCAGAAAGATAGATAGAAATAAATAAATACCCTCATTATGTTCTCTTAATATTACTTTTTTATTAGAACAAAAGTTTTGTGGAGAATATACAACACAGTTGTGACATGGTCACATCTTCTAGGAAGAAGGAAAATTCTTCAGCTCGTGTTTGAAAGGAAATGAAATATTCCTGTTTAGTGGGTAATTCCTTGCAGAATACTACCCTAGAGTTCCCTGATCTTGGTGAGGCAGTTGCTAAAAATATGAAAAGTCCTTACATGTGAAGGGAATATACAGCATGCCAAATATGATTCAAGTTTTTTTGTACTTAATTTACATTTCTAAAACAAATCTATTTCCTCACATCTCTCTTTGCAGAACTAAAATTTCCAGAAAAAGTCAAACCATAGACCCCGACACATATTAATGATTAACCCCAATTAGATACATTCACCCATTCACGTGTGAATCTTATTTTAAACACATAATTAAGTTCAGTAAGAATTCCCCAATTTAATACTGAAATCCCAACTTCATGCAGATTTTAACATACCACATTACCACAGAGTGGATTTGTGATAAGGAATGAGAGCCAAATTATTCCTGACATTTATGGACCTAATCAGTTTCTTTACTTTATGTCTGTGACATGGCTCTGAAGAAGTAGGCAGCTATCTATATTTTATGCTATATATTTTTATTCAAGATCTGAAATTGTCAAAATCTCAAATTGTTGATTTTATTTGCCCTTGAATTCTGGTAAGTTCAATTTTACAGACATCCAATGATGAATTTTGGCAACTATAATTCTTTTAAACATTCATTCATTCAGGTCCTTCATTTTTTAAATGATAAAAGTCTTAACTCTATTCTATTTGACCCACAAGCTGTATTTTCTTGCAGCTAAGACTTACTGTGTTTCCCCGAAAATAAGACCCAGTTTTATTTTCGTTTGGGTCCTGAAATAAGCATTCTGGCTTATTTTGGGGGTAGTCTTATTTTTTTGACGTGCAAGAAGTGGCGAGTGTGGGGGCCGATGAGAGTGGGAGCGCAGTTACCACTGGCCCTGCCCTCTCCATATCACTGTCCGCTTGCCAGCCGCCACAACCGGCCAAGCTCTTGGCATACCCCAGCCTCCACTCGGCCTGCCTGCTGGCCCAGCTGCTTCTGGGACACTTTTTGGCCATGGCGGGCACCATGCTGGCCAAGCGGCTGCCCATGCTGTTGCTTGCGGGAGCTCTTCACCATCCTGGCAGGGCATGCCGAAAGACTGACCCTGATTGAGGCTCCCTGGGGCAGAACCTCCAGCCCGGCACTTGCAAAGGTCTCAGGGGGGAAAGCCCCTTTACACAACCCAGCCTCTCTTTCAAGTGGGCAAGGAGCCCCCTCCCACCATACAATCAGCTGGTTGAGAATCTAGCGGTCGTAGGAACCGCTCCCCAGCTGGACACAGAACTCCAGCTGGAAGTGGGCTCCTTTGGCTACTGAGCCCTGGGTTGCATGCCTATTCAATGCTGCAGGCACTGGGGTACAGCTACGCTGAGCTTGGTGCTCTTCAGGCCCTGGACCTGATGAGCGCTAAAGCTCTCGTGCCAGCTGTGAGTAGGGTAGCTCCAGCAGGAGGTAGTGGAGGCTGCTGGATAGCAGCTGGGGCTTGGCAGTGAATTAGGCTTGGCGGAAGGCAAGGCAGCTGCAGAGCCACCACAGGCAACCAGGGGCAGCCCCATGCCTAGCGCACACAGATGGCGTGAGAGATGCAGCACCCACCAGGGCCAAGCACCTGCAGCACCAAGTAGGTGTGGAGCCCGGTGCTCAGAAGCCCAAACACTTTCACAATGTAGGGCGGTGCCTATGGAGCACCCAAACACTTTTCGCCCAGAGGGAGGCGAAGTTTCCTCGGTGAAGTGAAAAGTCCATGGCAGAGGCAGAAACTATCCCAACATGCTGCCCATCTTCCAGCTTACCGGGAGAAGCAACACGCAGCCTCTCCCCAGTAAAGAGAATTAATGCTGTCCCTTTCAAGTGATCAAATCTCTCTCTCTCTCTGCATATAGAGGGGGGGGGAGAGAAAAACAGCAGAGGGGAACTGGGTAAGGAGACTGAGCTTCCCCCACCCAGAAGCAACATGCAGCCTCTCCT